ATTTTCAGTTTTTTGGGTATTTTTCCACCGAGTTGGCTGTAATTTAGTATTTTAAGTTCTTAATAGGTAATAAATCTACCCACAAAAAATTATAAATATAGGTAAATTTTTTCGGATATCCCCCCATATAAGGGTACCCCCCCAATATTCGGTATTTTGGGGTTCTTGAGCGCGCTTTTCAACCGAATTCGCTGCAATTTGGTACATTGGGTTCTTATTGGGTACCAAATATCTCTGCTAAAAATTATAAATATCGGCAAACTTTTTCGTGTAACCCCCATATAAGGGCACCCCAAATTTTCGGTATTTTGAGGTTCTTGAGCGCGATTTTCAACCAAATACGCTGAAATTTGGTACATTGGGTTCTTATTGGGTATCATATATCTCTACTAAAAATTATAAATATCGGTCCACTTTTTCTGGTAGCCCCCATATAAGGGCACCCCAAATTTTCGGTATTTTGGGGTTCTTGAGCGCGATTTTCCACCGAATTCGCTGAAATTTGGTACATTGGGTTCTTATTGGGTACCAAATATCTCTATTAAAAATTGTAAATATCGGTCCACTTTTTCATTTCAAATACCTGTCAGTATATCTATGGTGGAGGGTATCCAAAGTTCGGCCCGGCCGAAGTTAACGCTTTTTCACTTGTTTATAGTTCTTATGGGTGAACTCGAGGCACATAGTTACCCCAGGTGACACCGCGGAATTGCCCCAATTGAGATGAAAGAGGGACCAAGATAAGCCTGGGCTTCGTCATGTTAAAACCAATCAGAGCCGTTGCTTGGTATCTATCATCCCCTACGTCACCCAACGCCTTAGTAAGGGCCTCCAAAAATTAATTTTCCCTTCTAGGGATTATAAAAATCCCTATGAAATAATTGTTAATATCCCTCCGGGATTATTAAAATCAAACTGAGATCTTTAAATTTCCTATGTGTAGAAGAACTTCCCTTTTATACGAATTATAGCAAATCGCTCGTCTACTGGAGTGGATCTGGAGACGAGATATTTTATTCTCCTATTTACCATAAATCCGCAGCCAAATTCTTTCCCCCGGGGAAATAAAAGTCCCTTAAATTCCCTTTTATAATTAAAATTTAATTTCCCCAAAAATATGTTTCTTCGTGCTCATCCGATATCCACACACATAATTCAAGGTCATTTACAAAAACAAACATGGCCTTAACGAACAACAATAGACTTAATTAAAAATTCTTAAGCGTGCTACTACTAGAAGAAGAAGAAGAAGAGGAACACCAGCATGACTAGTTGTCAATAAAATGTTGAATAAGTCAGAATTTCTGAAAAACAAAAAAGGTGTCATTGACCCCCTCTCCTGGCTGTGGCTGTTCGACACAACAAAGAATCGGCTTGTAAGAGGGAAACTAGCATAATAATGAAAATAACAATAACAACAACAACACAAAGCAACAATGCCGGCAAAAAACAGACACCATACAACAACAACTACGAAAATAATTAACATTTGTAGGTACATTAACCTTAACCGAATTCAACAGTTTCGATGTCGATTTTTTTTTTTTTTTTTTTTTGTTGGCCAATGTCGTGCCGTAGAACCTAACACAAATTTCAAAAAATTAAGAAGAAGAAAAATGTATGACAATTTATTCTGTGTGTTTTTGTGTGAAAAACGTCAATGGTAGAAATCATGAAAATTAAACAGAAACAAAAATCGGAGGTGCTAACAAGAATCACACTGGGCTGGGCAGCATCGAGACCAATAATGGTCTCGCACCATTCAAAGACACCAATAAGAGGGTAGATAAAAAGGCTAATGGAAATTTTCTAGAATTGGAATTTTCATCTCTCCTTTGAAACAACACCCTTTATAGTTTTTTTTTATATTGAATCAATAGCACGTTCTGATGACGCATTCCCGCTTAGCATATTCTCTCGCAGCTTTGTGATAATTTATGCTAATTGCTACGGCAAATTTTGATTACAAATTATGCCCGACTTTATTTTCTTCAAATAATTGATGGAAAACATTTTAAAAAATATTTATTTTCCAATACACCCTAATATACTCCCACCATCTGGCTTTCTTTATTTGAAGAAGAAAAAATAATAATTTAGAAAAATTGTCACAGTGAAATCTGTCACTTTGACATGAGTAATGACATGTCAATGTAATTATGTTCCTCCTTCTTGTTGTTGTTGCGATGGTCATGTATTCTAAAAATTTTGGATGGGTAGTTTCAACATCATTAACATTTCATGGAGATATGACTACTGCTAATTGTATTTACTTTGATGTCAAACGAAGAAGAAAATACCAAAAAATGACATTTGTTGAAATTTTCTTATTACTAAAAATTAAATATTTTTGTTTTAAGGAAAATTCCATATTTTTATTAGTTTTTATTGATTTTTTATATGAAATGTTAACATATTTAGGCTTTTCATATTTTTGTATAAAAGTGGAGACTTTTCTGCATATTTGAGCATTTAAAATTTTTCGAAAATCTTAAAAATTGATTTTGTACTAAAATTTAGTACACGTCGATTTTTGGCTCAAATGATTTCTCCTTAAATGGTGATTAATTTAAGATGTATTTTTCATATTTTTAAGCAGTACTAAAATTTAGTACTCTTTGATTTTCGGCAAAAATTAGGGTTTCTCGAGGATTTTTCTACTACAAAGTATGCCAAACATTAAAATAATAATTTTATGTTGACAATTTCTTAGTACTAAAAGTTCAATATTTTTGTTATAAGAAAAATTCTTTATTTTATTAGTTTTTAATGATTTTTAAATACAATTTTCCAAATTTTATATTTTTCGATTAAATTTCAAAAATTTCTGCATATTTTAGCATTTAAAATTTTTCGAAAATCTTAAAAATTGATTTTGTACTAAAATTTAGTACACGTCGATTTTTAGACCAAATTATTTCTCCTTCAATGGTGATTAATTTAAGGTGCATTTTATGCATTTTCAAGCAGTACTAAATTTTAGTACTTTTTGATTTTCCGCAAAAATTAGTGTTTCTGTAGCATTTTTCTACTAAAACATATGACAGCCATTGAAATAATATTTTTTTCTTGAAATTTTCTTTGTACTAAAAATTTAATATTTTTGTTATAAAGAAAATTCAATATTTTTATGAGCTTCTGATTAATTTCTATATAAAATTTTAAAAATTTTGTGAATTTCATATTTTTCTATTAAATTTCACATTTTTCTGCATATTTTAGCATTTAAAATTTTTCAAAAATAGTAAAAATTGATTTTGTACTAAAATTTAGTACACGTCGATTTTTAGCTCTAATGATTTCTCCTTCAATGACGATTAGTTTAAGATGCATTTTATGTATTTTCAAGCAGCACTAAATTTTAGTACTCCTTAAGTTTCCACAAAAATTTGGTTTTCTTGAGGTTTTTTCTTCTAAAACATATGGCAGCCATTGAAATAATAATTTTATGTTAAAATTTTCTTAGTACTAAAAAGTAAATATTTTTCTTATAAGAAAAATCTCTTATTTTTATCAGTTTTTTATTAATTTCCATATAAAATTTGAAAAATTTTGTGAATTTCATATTTTTCTATTAAACTTCAGATTTTTCTGTATATTTTGGCATTTTAAATTTTCCAAAAATCTTAAAAATTGATTTTGTACTAAAATTTAGTACTCGCCGATTTTTGGCTCAAATGATTTCTCCTTCAATGGTGATTAATTTAAGATGTATTTTTTATATTTTTAAGCAGTACTAAATTTTAGTACTCGTTGATTTTTGGCAAAAATTAGGGTTTCTCGAGCATTTTTCTTCTAAAACATATGGCAGCCATTGAAATAATAATTTTATGTTGACATTTTCTTAGTACTAAAAATTAAATATTTTTCGTTATAAAAAAATTCAATATTTTTATGAGCTTTTAATTAATTTCTATAAAAAATTTTAACATTTTTTTTGATTTTTATATTTTTCTAACAAATTTTAGATTTTTCTCTTTATTTTAGCATTTTAAATTTTTCGAAAATCCTAAAAATTAATGTTGTACTAAAATTTAGTACACGTCGATTTTTGGCTCAAATGATTTCTCTTTCAATGACGATTAGTTTAATATGCATTTTATGTATTTACAAGCAGTACTAAATTTTAGTACTCATTGATTTTCGGTAAAAATTAGGTTTTCTCGAGGGTTTTTGTACTAGAATGTATGCCATCCATTAACATAATACTTTTGTTTTGACATTTTTTTAATACTAAAAATAAAATATTTTTGTTATAAGGAAAATCCCATATTTTTATTAGTATTCATTGATTTTAAAATATAATTTTTAAAAATTTTCCGAATTTTATATTTTTCTATTAAATTTCAGATTTTTCTGTATATTTTAGCATTTAAAATTTTTCGAAAATCTTAAAAATTGATTTTGTACTAAAATTTAGTACACGTCGATTTTCGTCGCAAATTATTTCTCCTTCGATGCTGATTAATTTAAGGTGCATATTATGCATTTTTATCCGGTACTAAATTTTAGTACTCCTTGATTTTCAATAAAAAATTAGCTCAAATGATTTCTCCTCCGATGCTGATTAATTTAAGGTGCATATATGTATTTTCAAGCAGTACTAAATTTTAGTACTCCTCGAATTTCCTCCAAAAAATGAGGATTTTTTCCCGATTTTTTTTATTGTTTAATTAATTCCTTTTTTCCTTCTATCTTCTCTTTCCAGGCATTTTTAGTACAACACCATGCTACTACATGATCAACGACATTTATCAAATTTTTATAGAAAATTTTTAACATAAAGAAAAGCAACAACAACAAAAAATGCACAAAACAATCAAATCAATTTAAGGAAAAAACAACAACAACCCCAAGACTTAAATCTACAACAACAAAAGGCCAATTATTTTAAAAAAAGAAAAGGAGGGCGTTGAACGCCCTTCGTAATTCTACAAAAAAAGACTAAAAAAAATTAGCAGAAAAAAGACTTAAAATTTTTTTACAACAACAACAAAAATATGTCAACAATAAAAACGGAAAATCTGGCGGGACCAGCTGTGGTCACAACATCAGGTTCGTCATCATCAGCCTCCTTTCAATTGCCGGTTAATATGTGTACCACAGGGTCCACAAATAATGGAGGAGGTGGTCCGGGAGGTGGAGGGGGAGGTGGTCCTAGCGGGTCTTCTGGAGTTGCAGTGGGTTCCTCTGGTGGTGTCATTACCACCACGACCACCACCACCCGCAACAACATCTCCGTAACAAATATCAAATGCGAAGTAGACGAAGGCGGCGGCGGATCTACATCCCTAGCGAATGGCAATATCGTCTCGGTGGGTCATTTTTATAATGGCTCTAGAACGACAACAACGACCACAACAGGTGCAATTATTGGTGGTGGCCCTCCGGGTGTCATAACCTCCGGTCATGCTGTACGCATTCCAGTGACAAAATCGGAAGAATCCGATTCCGAGACGGAATTAACAAATATTGAGAATTTAAAAGTGACCCGCAGGGTTAGCTCCAGCACGGCGGTGATGACTTCCTCCAGCAATCATCAGAATCATCATGGCCCCCGGCCCATGTCCTGGGAGGGTGAATTATCGGATAATGATGAAGATACCCGGGAGGCGGAACTCATGGACACGGATACCACCATGAGTAATGGTGTAGGCGGGGGAGGAGGTGGTGAAGGAGGAGGCTGCCAAGAGCCCTCAAATGCCGTGGCGGTTATAAAAAGTGAGGCCACCACCACCACACCCTCTATGATGCTGCTGCAGGAGCCTCCCCACATCAAACCCGAATTACCCGATTTCCAACATCACAGCAGTGGTGGTAGCAACCCGACGGCCAGCTCCATCTATGGCCATGCCAAACTGAAATTGGCCCCCACCCAAAGTGATCCGATCAATTTGAAATATGAACCACCCGATCATGGGGCCGCGAATACCACCACCTCCCTGGTGAATTCTCCCCTGCTGGCCCGTCAAAAGTCCACCACAGTTTTGCCTCATCTGCCTGCCAACCCCAGTCCCGATTCTGCCATACATTCCGTTTATACGCACAGCTCACCCTCCCAATCACCGTTGACGTCCCGCCATGCCCCCTACACGCCGTCACTGTCACGCAATAACAGTGATGCCTCCCACAGCTCTTGCTATTCCTATTCATCGGAATTCAGTCCCACCCATTCGCCCATACAGGGTAGACACCAGGCGACGGGTTCTGCGGCTGGGCCTCATGTGGTCTATGGCGGTGGGACACATAGTTTCAATGGTTCCGCAGCTAACTCCTTACATCATTCCACTTTGCTGTATCGGCCCCTGGCGGCAGGTTCGGCCGGAGGTTCTTCATCCTCCCTGAAAATGGATAGCATGTCCAATGAAGTGCAAAATTTGTCCATGGATGCCGCCGCCACGTCCTCTTCATCCGCTTCGTCCACCCCGTATGGCTTGACCACCGACCCTGCCACAGGGCTGCCAGCCTCCCCTGCGGCGGGTATCTCCCGTCAACAACTTATCAACTCACCCTGCCCTATTTGCGGTGATAAAATCTCCGGCTTCCATTATGGCATCTTCTCGTGTGAATCCTGCAAGGGGTTCTTCAAACGTACCGTCCAAAATCGCAAGAACTATGTATGTGTGCGGGGTGGGCCATGTGCCGTCAGCATTACGACGAGGAAAAAATGTCCCGCTTGTCGTTTTGATAAATGTCTGCAAAAGGGTATGAAATTGGAGGCCATTCGGGAGGATCGTACCAGGGGAGGGCGTTCTACTTATCAGTGCTCATATACCCTACCGAATTCGATTATGAGCCCCTTGCTGAGTCCAGAACAGCAACAGCATCATTCGCAGCAACATCAGTCGTCTTCGACCTCGTCGGTTCAAAATCTCCTGAGCCCACAACAACAAACGCAGCTACAACATCAATTACAACAACGATTAAATCCAGCTCTGCATTCTCCACATCATCAGCAGCAGCCGGGAGCGGGAGCGGGAACGGCGGGGGCCAATAATTCACATCCACAAAATAATGGTTTCATGACTGGGGGGCCGGCCACCATTAAAACCGAACTACCCGATGTTGGCTACATTAAGGCTGCAAATTCCGCCCACTCACCCTCTCCCCTGAATGGTGGGGGGCTACACAACTCACCCCGTAATCATTCGACAAACTGTTCCACCACTTCCGCATCTTCTTCCTCCACCTCCAACAACAGTATTCCCCAACTTCTCCAAGAGATAATGGATGTTGAACATCTTTGGCAATATACCGATGCCGAATTGGCACGGCTCAATCAACCCTTGGCAACGTCATCCAGTACCAGCTCCTCCTCATCATCGTCCACCACCGACTCCACAGCAGCTGCCAGTCAAATGACCAATCCACTGCTGGCCAGTGCAGGTCTATCATCGAGCACCAATCCCGATTTGATTGCCCATCTGTGTAAGGTGGCCGATCATCGGCTCTACAAGATTGTGAAGTGGTGTAAAAGTTTGCCGCTTTTCAAAAATATTTCGGTATGCCTCTCTCATCCCTCTATTTTAAATAAAAATTATCAAATTCTCTTTCCTCTCCCTCAGATTGACGATCAAATTTGCCTCCTGATCAATTCATGGTGTGAACTTTTACTATTCTCTTGCTGCTATCGTTCCATCGATGTACCGGGAGAAATTAAAATGTCCATGGGTAAAAAGATTAATCTGGCCGAGGCGAAATTAACTGGTTTTCAGGTAAGTCCCAATCAATTTTTATTAATGAAGGAAATTTTGAAATATATCTTTTTTCGATTCTCCACAGCCCTGCATTGAACGAATGCTGAATCTGACAGACCATTTAAGACGTTTGCGAGTCGATCGCTATGAATATGTGGCAATGAAAGTGATTGTTCTACTGCAATCGGGTAAGATTTTGGAAAGACAAAATGAAAAATCCACAGGATTTTTGAAAATATTTTTAGAGGTCTACAAGAGGCTTGGATTTTTTCAAAATATGTTTTAGAGTTCTATAGGAGTCGTGGATTTTTAAAAACGTTTTTAGAGGTCTACAGGAATCGGATGCGAGGATTTTTTATAACTATTCTGTAGACCTCTGAAAGTCTACAGAAGGCGTGAATTTTTTTAAAATAATTTTTAGGGGTCTACAGAAGTCGTGGATCTTATTCTACAGTGACCTGTTATAGTCCCCACAATGAAATAGAGATTTAAATCTCTATTTTATGGGACAGCAGTGAAGAAGTTATTCGGCGAGAGAATTCAGGCCAGATATCTTTTAAGATTCTGCAACCAGGTTCTCTCGACCATATGTTACCGACTACCACACCGTAGAACAAGCGGTGGTTTCACAGATCTCTCAATCGGAAAATTGGACGATTGTGAGCCCGCTCGAGAAAGCTCGTCGGCAATCTCGTTCCCTTCAATGTCACTATGCCCAGGAACCCAAAATAAACTAACTATCTGTCGTGTATGATTCAGAGCGGTCTTGCAATCAAGAACTGCTTTTGAGTTTATAGTACACGACTTCACCGTCTTGATGGCCGCCTGACTATCGACATATATAGTCACCGGTCCCGTAATATCGGCAGTAAGTGTTTTGACTAACTCGGCCGCTTTCGTGATTGCAAGGATTTCTGCTTGAAAAACGCTACAAAGATTGTTAAGTTATGTTGAGGATACTAGCATCCATGCATCCGTTTCTCGGAGCCTCAGAGCACATATGACCGCTTGGAATTAATTCAGAATCTCCAGTGGTTGGAGATTCAGGATCATATTCTAGGCTGCCTGTGGTGTACTTCTTAGCGCTCCGGTAATCAGGATCGAAGCCGATCGCTGTACTGAATTTAATTTTGTCAGCAGTATATTTTTCTTGACCCCCTGCCACCATACAAGGCAATCATAAGTAAGAATGGGGAGAACGACCGTCACATACAGCCAGTGTATGATCTCCGGCCTTAGTCCCCAGCACTTACCTATGGAATTCTTGCATAAGTAGAGTGCTAACAGTCCTTTCTTAGAGCTTTCCTTAACAATCCTATTCCACATTAATTTGCAGTGAAAGATTGTACCAGAAAGGGTTAGGGTCACTTTTTCCCAGTGATGGCGGGCGGAAACTAGGAATCTTACGTTTCCTAGTGAAGAGCACCAATTCTTTCTTAGTGGGGTTTACACCAAGACAGACTCTTATAGAATATCTGAAATTGTCATTAGAAATTTCCCACTAACCAGCAAGACTACATCATCGGCATAGGATATATTCTTTATCTTTAGATGATCGAACTTCAGCTTCGGAATAAGCATTTTTTACATATAAAAACTACTTTCAGATTGTCTAAAGGGGTAGTAATTTCAACCTTCCTTCCTGTCATCTTCAAATGCTTCCCCCTGAGTGCATGCATATAAACCATATTTTCAGAAGATCTAAATAGATTGGTCACCTATAAAAATATTCGTCCGGTATTCTTTTTTTGTTGACTTTAAAACCCTTCTTACTTTCGTCTTTTGGCTTATAAAGGGTACTTTTCGGTCTACCATTAAAACTCGGGTTTTGTTTCTCCATTTTGGTTCGAAATAAAACCTTTCTTACGGTTGCGCCTATGAAGATCCCTATCGCCTATAATGACAACCATTTGTAAACCCGGATAACCATATGGTCAATAGACCAAGGATTACCTCTTATGTATCTGTAATAGTGTCAACCATGAATAACATCCAGACTTCAAAATAGCATCCTTTCGGTAAAGAAGTTTCCTTCCTCCCATCTTTATATTCTTTGAAAAATAGTCAATACTAGCATATACCCGTTACTTCGTTAGTGAATGTGGGAAGTATTTAGAACCCAATACCAAACATAATTAACACTTTTGGAACCGTTTAGTACCTATGTTCTCTTATAGTACTTTTTTCCAAAACTACCTCCATATCTCAACCCTACACACCAATTCTGTACAAAATTTAGCACACATTAGTATGAATTTCCAGAACTTCCTACAAATCCCAATCCTACACTCTAACAGTGATCCTAATCATTTGATACCATTTTGTACACATTAGTATAAATGTCCAAAATATTCTACGTAGCCCAATCCTACATCCCAACAGTAACCCTAAGGCCAAATTTCAGCTGTATTGGTTCACCAAAAATTTAATTTGTACCAAATTTAGTACACATTAGCACGAATTTCCAAAACATTCTACAAAGCCAAACCCTACACCCCAACAGTGATTCTAACATCAAATTTGTCGGTTCACCCAAATATAAATTTGGTACCATTTACTACACATTAGAACGAATTTCCAAAATTTTCTTCATAGCTCAATACTACATACTAACAAAGATCGTAACTCCAAATAGCAGGACTCCAACTCTATCAGTTTACACAAAATTCAAATTGTACCAAATTTAGTACAATTTAGTACCAATATGTATGAATTTCCAAAACTACATTTATTTCCAAATTAGTACGAAACTTTCCACAAAGCCCAATCCTACACCCCAAATTTCAAAATTCCAGCTAAATCGGTTCACTCAAACCCGCATTTGGTACCATTTAAATGGTACAAAATTTAGTTCACATTAGAACGAATTTTCAAAATTCTCTAAATACCATAATCCTACACCCCAACAGTGGTCCTGACTCAAATTGCATTACTCCAGCTCTATCGGTTCACCCAAATCCAAATTGAACCAATTAAAGTACGTTTTAGTACTTTTCGTACACATAAGAAAAAAAATCCAAAACTACGTATATATGCCAATCCTCCACTTCGACGGTAATGTTAATTTAAATTTTCAGGATTCCAACTCGATTTGTACCTCCAAATTAAATTTGTACCGAATATAGTACCATATAGTACTTTTCGTATACATAAGTACACGCTTCCAAAGTCAGCTCCTTACATCGACCCTGCTTCTCAACCTTAATTTGCATTCCAAATTTCAAGTTTTTAGCTCTATCCATTAACATGCTACGAAATTGTACTAAAATTAATACATTTTAGTGCTTTTCGCATACTTTTAGTTCGAGTGTCCATAAAAATGTAAAAAAGTAGTGATATCATAGACTTCTTCGGGGCAGACTGTACTCGTTTAATTTTATAATGAATATTCAAAAAAATTTTTTTTAATTCATTGATAAATTTTTTTCTCTTTATATTTTTAGACACTTCGGAACTCCAAGAACCCGTCAAGGTACGTGAATGCCAAGAAAAGGCATTGCAAAGTTTGCAGGCCTACACATTGGCTAACTATCCGGAGACGCCATCGAAATTTGGTGAATTGCTGCTGCGCATACCCGATCTACAGAGAACTTGTCAGGTGAGTTAACATATTTCAAATACCAAATTGAAATCAATAATTGAAATTGATTTTTTTTCTCTTTTACAGCTTGGCAAAGAAATGCTCTCGATAAAATCTCGTGATGGCAATGATTTCAACTTACTTATGGAACTTCTGCGTGGAGAACATTGACGAAAGCCTTGCAATATGACGTCAACAACAACAACAACATTTCATTGCATTATCCGCATCATCTGCATCAGCATTAACATCAACAAAATTAGGAAAATATTTGTTGTTGTTGTGCAATACCTCACTGGGGGTATCACAAGAACAACAGCAACAACAATAGCATCTACTTTTTGCAAAAGTAGAGGAGAATATCAACAAAAACAATATATTTTTTTATATATAGATATAAAAAAAAACGAAGAATTAAACATAAAAAAGTTTATAAACAATTTTTTTTGATAAGTATTTTTTTATACTATATATATATTTTTTTTTCTAGTATACTTTAAGATTATGAAAAAAAACAACAACAACTAAATTCTTTTTATTTTTTTTCTTTTTTGTTTTTGTAAGATCAACTACAAAATAAGTAATCTATATATAAATATTTTTTTATTAATTAAAATAATTCAAAAAACAAGAGATGTGCCTAATAACAAATTAAAATGAAAAAAAAATAATTAAATAATTAATTAATTATAATAATAAAAAACAAATTATAAAAAAAAAATAATAATTTATGTGAATTTTTTGTTTTTCATTTTTCTGTTTTCAAATTATTTGGATATATTAAAAACACAAATATTTTTTTAGATTTTTTAAAAAATAATTTTTTTTTATTTTCTTAAAAAAATACGATACCTTTACCAAGGCGTGGATTTTTTAAAAATAATTTTTCGAGACCTTTACCAAGGCGTGGATTTTTTAAAAATATTTTTTCGAGACCTTTACCAAAGCGTGGATTTTTTACAAATATTTTTTCCAAATTTGTTTCTCCAGATTCACTCCAGTAGATGAGCGAATTGCTATAATCCGTATAAAAGCGAAGTTCTTCTACATCAGTCTCATTTGAGCCCATGCTCCGGCCGAAGAAAAAGATGAACAGCCCAAAGACATATTTTACGAGCGCCTAGAAAACAGCATATGATCGTTGCCCTGGCCATGACATTAAAATTCTGCTAGGAGATTTTAATGCAAAAATCGGAAGGGAAAATATCCTTGGCCCCACCGTCGGAAAATTCAGCCTCCATGAAGAACATCAGACAACGGCATGAGGTTGATTGACTTCGAGGCAGCAAAAAACTTGGTAGTTAGCAGCACCAGATTCAAGCATTTCGATATACACAAGGCAACTTCGATTTCTCCCGATCGAACAACGAGAAATTAAATCGATTATGTTGTGATAGACGGTAGGCATTCATCCAGTGTTTTAAACGTCCCATCGATCCGAGGAGCGAATATCGATTTGGACCATTACCTTGTGGCAGCCAAAGTACGCACCCGTCTTAATGTAGCAGCAAAGGTGCGATCTAATGTAACACGGAAACTCGAAGTCGAAAAGCTGCAAACACATTAGGTAGCCGAGGCCTTCACCGCTCAACTTACCCAACTGCTTGACGAAAGCACCCCTTGTCCCGATAATAGTATAGAAGCACAATGGTAAAGAATTGCCCATTACCTACAAACTGCAGCAAAAGCAACACACCACCATCAAGAAATCCATGGTACGATCAGGAGTGTCGTAATGCTACTGATGTGAAAAACGCAGCGTATAGGGCAACCCTGCGAACAGTAGTAACACGTAATGCGATGGAGAATTATCGGGAGAGAGGAGAAGCGTGTTTTCAGAAAAAAGAACAAGAAAAACGTGAGCGTGAGCAAATCGAGATGTATAGGAGTCAGAATGAAGTCCGAAAATTTTACCAACGAGTAAAACACCAAACCATAGACCACCATCAAGAAATCCGTGGTACGATCAGGAGTGTCGTAATGCTACCGATGTGAAGAACGCAGCGTATAGGGCAACCCTGCGGACAGTAGCAACGCGTAATCCGATGGAGTACTATCGGGAGAGAGGAGAAGGGTGTTTTCAGAAAAAAGATGAACTAGAAAAACGTGAGCATGAGCAAATCGATATATACAGGAGTCAGAATGAAGTCCGAAAATTTTAACAACGAATAAAACATAAAACCGAAGGCTTTAGTGCAGGCACATCCTCCTGTAGAGATGAAGAAGGAAACCTGGTGACAGATACAGACAACGTGCTGAGGATCTGGAAGGAGAATTTTGAAAAACTTCTGGTATCAAATAATGGCGGTGAAGAGAATACCCTCGAACCAATAATAGATGAAGGTATAGAGTGAATACAACCTAGCCAAGATGAGGTCAGAATAGAAATTAATCGGCTGAAGAACAATAAAGCAGCAAGTGCCGATGGGTTACAAACCGAACTATTCAAGACTGGTGGTCAGATACTGGTAAGGAAGTGGTCAGATGCTGGCTAGAGGAATGCATGCCCACTGATTGGAATCTGAGCATCCTGTATCCCGTGTACGGAGACAAGACGATATGTGCCAACTATAGAGGAATAAGTCTCCTTCCCATCGCATATAAAGTGCTATCCAGGGTGCTGTGTGAACGATTGAAGCCAATGGTCAATGACATTATTGGACCATACCAATGCGACTTCGGACCTGGCAAGTCCACCATTGACCAGATTTTCACTCTGGGCCAAATCCTGGAAAAGACCCACCAAAAACACATCAACACATTCCACGGCGGCTTCAGACCTGGCAAATCCAACATTGACTAGATTTTCTCTCGGCACCAAATCCTTCAAAACACCCACGAAAAGTACATCGAGACATTCCACCTATTTGTCGACTATAAAGCCGCATTCGATAGCCCTATTCGTTCAGAGGTGTTTAAAGCCATGTCTGCGTTTGGCATTCCTGCAAAATTAATACGGCTATGCAGGATAACTTTAACTGGCACAAGATCAGCAGTTAATGTCGGAAAGGACCTCTCGGAGCCCTTTAATACCGAACGAGGATTCAGACAAGGTGATAGTTTGTCGTGTGACCTTTTTTAACATCTTGCTGGTCATACGAAAGGCAAAAGTGAACAGAAATAGCACTCTGTGCACCAAATAACACCAGTTACTCGCCTACGCCGATGACATCGATATAATGGGTCGAACACTGAGAGCGGTAACAGCCACCTTTGAACAAATTGAAAAGGAGTCTGCCAAAGTGGGTCTGGCATTAAACGGCGATAAGACCAAACTGATGGTATCAACACGAAAGACGTCCAGTAGACACGGACCAACTGTGGAACTTGAGAACTACAGATTCGAGGTAGTTAAAGATTTTATATACCTTGGTACCGCCACAAATAAAACGAATGACATCAGTTTTGAAATTCGGAGAAGGATTGTGATGGCCAACAGATGCTACTATGGGCTCAGTAAGCAGTTTAGAAACAAGGCCACCTCCCGCCAGACCAAACTCACACTTTACAAGACGCTGATACTACCCGTGCTGTTATATGGATGTGAAGCTTGGGTACTTCCGCAAGCAGATGAGGCAGCTCTTGGAGTGTTTGAGAGAAAAATTCTTCGAAAGATCTATGGGTCGATCTGCGTTGACGTTGAATATCGCCGTCGAATGAACCATGAGTTGTACCAGCAATTCTCGGACATCGATATTGTTAGACGTATTGAACTGCAGCGAGTACGTTGTCTAGGTCATGTTGTGAGAATGGATGAAGATGCCCCAGCCCAGAAGCGTACCAGCTGATAGTTCACGCAGAAGGGGAAGGCCACAAATTCAATGTAAAGATCAAGTAGAAGATAGAGTGTGAGTTTGGTCTGGCAGGATGTGGCCTTGCTTTTGAGTTGTTTGCTCAGTCCATAGTCGCACCGGTTGGCCATCACTATCCTTCTCCGAATTTCAAAACTTATGTCATTCGTTTTATTTATGGCGGTACCAAGGTATATAAAATCTTTGGCTACATCGAAGCTGTAGTTCTCAAGTTCCACAGTTGGTCCGAGTCTACTGGACGCCTTGCGCATTGATACCAGCAACTTGGTTTTCTTGCCAGACCCACATTGGCAGACTCCTTCTCAATTTGTTCAAAGGTGGCTGTTACCGCACTCAGTGTTCGGTCCATTATGTCGATGTCATCGGCGTAGGCGAGTAACTGGTGCTGTTTGGTGTACAGAGTGTCATTTCTTTTCACCTTTGCCTCACGTATGACCTTTTCCAGCAGGATGTTAAAGAGGTCACACGACAAACTGTCACCTTGTCTGAATCCTCGTTCGGTATTAAAGGGCTCCGAGAGGTCCTTTCCGACTTTAACTGCTGATCTTGTGCCAGTTAAAATTATCCGGCATAGACGAATTAATTTTGCAGTAATGCCAAAAGCAGACATGGCTTTATACACCTCTCAACGGATAAGGCTGTCGAATGCGGCTTTATAGTCGACGAATAGGTGGTATGTGTTGATGTGTTTTTCGTGGGTATTTTGCAGGATTTGGAGCCGAGTGAAAATCTAGTCAATGGTGGATTTGCCAGGTCTGAAACCGCATTGGTATGGTCCAATATTGTCATTGACCATTGGCTTCAGTCGTTCACACAGTACGCTGGATAGCACTTTATATGCGATGGGAAGGAGATTTATTCCTCTATAGTTGGCACATATCGCCTTGTCTCCTTTTTTTGTGCATGGGACACAGGATGCTGAGGTTTCAATCATTGGGCATGCTTTCCTCTAGCCAAAAGACCGACGAGCCTGGAAATCTTTTCTAAGCTCGGCATATGGAACGAGTGGTCTGTCACAAGCCAGCTAAGAAGAAGAAGAACAAAGGCGTGGATTTTTTTAAAATATTTTTTCGAGGCATGGAATTCTTAAAAATATTTTTTCGAGGCATGGAACTTTATGAAGGCGTGATTTTTTTAAAAATATTTTTTCGTAACCTTAACCAAAGCGTTTTTTTAGAAATATTTTTTCGAGGCCTTTATCAAGGCATGGAATTCTTAAAAATATTTTTTCGTAAACTTTACCAAGACGTGTTTTTTTTTAATTTTTTTTTTTTATGGCCTTAACAAAGGTGGGGATTTTTTTAAATTATTTTTGGTATGTACTTTAAATGTTATAATTTTTTTATTAAATTATTATTTTGTAAATAAA